TAGTCCTTAAGACTGTACCCTGAGATCTACTCTCCCTCTCCTACCTGTCAGGGCTCCCCTCCTGGGGTTTTCCCCCTTGATTGTCTCCTCAGCAGTGTGGCTAAAATTGTCTCTGGTGTGCAGAACAGAGGTCACTGTCCTCTGTAAACCATTTGAGGTGCACTCCTTACCTATAGGAGGACAGATGTTTACCACAGCTCCCAGGGTTCATGTGGCCCAGCCTCATGCTGCCCCATTTGCCCTTGCTCTGTTCTGTCTGGTGGACCTTCCAGTTAAGGTCCAGGCTGTCACACTGTCCTGTGTACCTGTCCCTTCATATGTCTCCTCCTCTCCCTGCTTGGTGTCTTCCCCACTGCGCCATAATCTTGAGAAAATACCCTTTGCTCAGGACTTGTGCTTGGTGGTCACTCAGAAAGTGCTAGCTAGTGCTCTTAGGAGATTGGCTTTCCAGCTGTACTCCCAGCCCTGTGGCACTACACATGCTCTTTATCAGCACGGGAGATAGCTGTTCAGTTGGCGGCGCGGAATGCAGCGTGCCTGTCACACGGGTTCTGGTTTCCCTAGAAAGTTTGGGTAAAAGTGTGGATATTTTACAAGCTCAAAAGGAGGAAAATTAAGGACCAAAAAGGACATCTATCAAGTAAATTACAGTATGTTCCTGTGAGTAAAAAGCTCTAGAATATTTAAATAAGGTAGTAAATTATTTATACTAAATTGTTAGATAAACATAAGTAGCTTCCACAGAGAAGTTTGTCTGGTGTTTTCTTTGTGCCAGAGCAATAAATAAAGTTTGCTTTCCCTTTTGGGTTTTTATCTTAGAATTTTCTGGAATGTAGCCACACTAGAGAAAAAAGCAAAAACCTGATAATGAGGGAAGTTGTATAAGATTAGCATTTGACTGTAGGGTCAGTCTTATTTGGATGGCTGAATTTCCATCAATTTTGTGTTTGTTATTACAAAACTGAACATTTTCCTTCCGAAACTACAGCATAGAAGGCAGGAGATATCCAGCGTCATCCACAAACACTGTTGATGCACATACGTGTGGTATGTCTGTGTATGCGTGAGGGGTGGGAGGAGACAGGAGACTGAGGACGTGGCCCACCTTGAGCAGTTGGCTGGTGGTGTGTATGCTTCTCCCCATACTGCACACCAGGGTAGAGGCTGGCCCCTTTTTCTGTAAAAGTCTGTAGCAGTATGTTACTTACAGGCCAGGTCATGTTGTCACCACCCCGCTTCCGTCCCTCCTCTGCACTGCTCTTTCTTCCCTTATAACATTGTGGAGAGTGCCATACTCAGAGCGGGCTGCGGCCCTGGTTCTGTAATACATGGGTCATAACACACTTGAGATAACAAGAGCACCTGCCCCTCGGCAAACTCCTTTCGCAACAGTGAAATGAATAACTGATGTGTAACCAGAAATATCAACTCTAATGTGAGCACGGGCCGCGTTAGCCATGGGATTTTTGGTTAAATCTTCTAGCACGGCCCTATATGTGAGATAAAGAAATATACTCATAGATCACTGGATAACAGGGGCACATTCTGAGAAGATCCCTGTGGGCACTTTGATCCCCTCACAACAGCACTGAGCAGTAGAACTGAGGAGCCCACCCTAGTACTTATGTTCTGTGGCTGACGGCAGTGTCTTTGCTGTCCCATGTGACTGTACTCCTCAGGTGGAGGAGCTTCAGAGACTGGGTCATAAGAATACATTAAAACAACCTTGAAGTTTTCTTTCTTTGCCCTTGAATAAAACTGTGTCTTTGTGTCTCTCTGCCTCTGTCTGTCTGTCTCTGTCTGTCTCTGTCTCTGTCTCTGATGTGGTACTGGGAATTGAACCCAGGGCCTTTGCACTGAGCTACATTCTCAGCCCATTTTTAATTTTCATTCTGAGCCAGGATCTTGCTGAGTTGCCTGGGCTGGACTCAAACTTGCAATGTCCCGACCTCAGCCTCCCGCAGTGCCAATATTATAGGTGTGCACCACCGTGCCCAGTTTTTGAGTATGGCTTTATTGAAGAATAATGTTAGAGAATAGATGCATTGGTTGCTGTATATCGTTCAAATTAATTTCTATCATTAAAGTCACACCGTAGATTGTATGCCTTCCGTCTTCAGGGCTACATGGTTAATTTAACAACAGTGTCATGTATTGAATCATCTCTTATGAAGATTTTCCCTCTGGCTGAACAGACTAACCTCTGGATTTATTTTCCAGATATGCTCGGTGAAGGAACGACACGCCAGTGAAATGCGAGACTTGCCGAGTCGCTATGTTGAAATAGGTATGGCTTCTTCTCTTACCTTCTCCGGGTGTAAAGCTGCAAAGGTCCCTGCCCTGAGTACGTGGAGTGTGAGGCCATGTTTTTCCTCAGGTCTCATCCCTTTGCATGTCCCTAAAGAACACCCAGGAGCTTTATGTTTTGGAATTTTATTTGGAAACCCTTTTCAAAACATCATATTTTAAAATTTCAAATGAGTCTTGTAGTTGGTTTTAAAGTTGGATAACCACGAGGCTGAGTTTTGGACACATTTCTGCATGCTTCCGTAATCGCATCAGTACTATCTGGGGAAGAAGCTGTTCCCCAAGTGAGTCGCAAGAGGTGTTAGTGTTAATTCATGCGCATAGCTGAGGCAGGGCTGATACCTTTCCTGCCCCCTTGCCCCTTCTGAGTCCTACTTTATATTGTTGCTAGTCGGGCCAGGCTGCCCTGGGTTTTGAGCAGGACCACAGTGGCAGCTGTAGGCCTGGTTATCTCCTCCCACTGTGTGTAACTCCACCATAGTGGACATACAGATCGGATCATGCCATCGTCCTCCCATTCCTAGGATGACGAGGGGAGACGTGGTTCTTGGTGTGGGGCATGGGTCAGCAGCCTGCTAACTTCTCTCTCTTACAACACACGGTCTAGGCTCCTCCTTCCTCTCTGTCTAGAATGGCTTTCTTGCTTCTCGCTTCTCTGATGCTTACTCAGACTTATCTCAAGTGCTGCTTTCCTGGGCCCATTGGACCCAAACAGGCCACGTCCCCTGTGGGCTTGTTTAACACTACACCACCATTGGCGAGAGGCTGTGGCAGCCATCACATGATTCCTGGCTGTGTCCCTGTGACATTGCTGGACTGTCACATGGCTGCCAGTGTCCACTGCTACTGCTTCTGCTCACTGTTGGTGTCACCTGGCCTTGGCCCAGTGCTTGGCACACAGTAGGTGCCGAATAACATCATGTTGAGTGAGGTGATGACTGGCAAACAGCTGCCCAGGAGAAATCTGTCAAGGACAGTATGCCCTTACTTTTCTAATTCAGTTGGTAAAATTTATTCTAGGGGAAAAACTTTTAGCATATTATAGGTCAACTATGAAGTCCATTTGCCCATTTGGATGGTGAACAGGAAATAAATATTTGATGGGTTATTATAGCAAAGCAACACTGAAATGAATTCATTTGGTTTGCATTTCCCATATGTCAAAAGTTTGATTTTTTTCTAACTTTAGAGAAAAATAAATATATAGTTCCAGATTATGGACTAAATAGGTATATGTACAATAATACAATGAGAAAATCTGAGGAATAAGACAGTAGAGAAGACTGATAATTAGAAAAGTAATATTGTTTCACTGTCCTTTTTTCCTGCTCTCTCTTCCCTGTCAGGGGAAAAAAAAAAAAAAAAAAAACACTGAACATCTCAGTACATCATGTTCCGAGATATGATATTTGAATTTTTAATGTAGACACATAACAATAACTGTCAGAGAAGTACCAAAATACAGGAGCTGTCACCTTCTCTACTTGGTGGGTATGCATGGCTCACATACTCAGCATAAGGCCTCACACTGTGTTAACCACACAAACTCTCTGCACTCTCGCACCACTTCTGGGGGGTCCAGCTTTTCGGTCTGTTGTTGAAGAAGTTGAGGGTCAGGGAGATAAGGAACTTATCCGAGACCCTGCTGCTGTGGTGTAAATGGGTAGAAGCTAACTGCAGAACCATCAGAAAGCCGAGGAGCCCAGGCAATTCGCTGAATGAATGTGCGATCATGATGAGGTGGCCTAAACCCCTTTCACCACATATTAGGTAGAAACAGGGGTACTTCCTTCCATGATGGTGAGAGCCGGACCGACAGGGCCACAGGCCGAAGGTCGTACTTGGCACTCGTAGTTGCTCACTAGACTGTGGCAGTGATTATCACGTGCACACTCCTGTCTGCACCCTGGCTGCTAACAGTTGTCCCCATGGTGGCTGCATTGGCCCAGAGCCATCGGAGCATATTACTGAAGCACAGTTCACTTGCACTATAGTTTATGTGAACTAGACCATGTGGAGGTGCTTACCATATCACAATACTAACATTTTACTACTATGCCTAGTGGTTAAGTACCATTTTTTTCCCCTTGTGAGAGAAAACCGTAAGAATAGAAACCATTTCCACAGCAGGAGGCAAAGTGGCTCGGATAAGAGTTCTTGAGTAGAATAAAGGAAAGGGGAAATATAAGGAGGTCTGGATTGCAGTTCACTTCAGCCCTGAACAGTGCAAGCCGCTGTTTTTTAGTAAATGAAAGTAAAGAAAGATCTGTGGGTGCACACTCCTTAGAAGCTGGATGTTTATGTCCTCCCGTATGAAGCAGCATCTCAAAAATATCAATGTTATTCCTGCCAATAGGATATTGATACTGCAAATGAAAAATAGTAATAGCAAAGACTAAATGCACCAGCTGGCTAGCAGCCCACAAAGAAGCTTTGCCTGTAGGATTTTCAGGTACACCTTTTTCTTCCAGATTAGTTGTGCAGGTAGGCCATCATCCATGTCTGTGACATTCATGCTAGCATCTCTTAGATCTTTTGAATCCTCACAGAGACTTTCTAATCTCTGGGTCTTTTCACCAGTCTAATCTCTGTGGAATGGTGCTTGGAGAGATGCTTTGTGGTTGGTAAATGAAGCCAGTGTTTGTGTCACTTTCTGGGTGTTTGCTGCCAGCTATTATGGCTTGCTTACGTGCAAGGAATTCATGGTTGACTTTTTCCTTGATTCCATGTGGAAATTTGTTTAAAAAATAATTGAGGTAAACAACTACTTGAGGATCTATATAAATGACAGGGAAACCAGGAAGAGAAAGGGAAGGAAATGTCATTTAAAAAAAAAAAAAAAATAGCACATGCTAGTCATACAGATGAATGGGTTTCATTGTGACACTTTCATACATCTATATAGCATTCTCTATTGGCCAGGGCTCTCTAAGTTTGTTTGTTGTTTATACAAGAGAATTGATTAGGTAGGTGCACAGGAGCAGAGATAGGAGAGGGCACAGTAGCCATCTGTGTGCTGGAGGAAGCAGTAGCTCCTCGGGCCAAGAGGCTGGAAGTTGCAGGATGCGAGCCACCAAGAATGCGGGATCAGTCTGTGACTGAAGGCCTGCTAGCTCCCTAGAGTCCCTGGGGTGAGACCTTGTTGCTAGGCTGAAGAAACTGGAGTCTGTTGTCACAGTTGATGGCATTGGCAGCAATCATACTTGCTCCAGCAGAGTGGAGCTTTGCCACTACAGGCTGACTTCCTCCTGCTGCTTTCTTGCCATCCAGGCGGCAAGGCTGTGCTGCCTGCTGCCAGCTGTATTGGGGGGTACCCAGAGGCCCAGCCAGATGTGTGCTTTACTGATTGGCGTGGCCTCCTCATTCCAGTCAAGGTGACAGCCAGGATTAGTAGGCACACTTATTTTAATCCATCCCCCATTACCCTCCCTTCCCTTGTCCCCCTTCCTCTTTAATAGTTTCCCTTGTTTTCATGTTGCCTTATTCATTTTGTTTCCAGTTTAATTCATTAGTGCCGGTATCTTTAGTTGGTCCTATGGTATTATTTTAGAATTTAGCCAAGTCATTGTGTTTTCAGATTGCAGCACAATGATCTGGCAATTGGAGCTAGGTTTGTATAGTATAAGAGAGCTGTGAAATAATTTTTCCTTAGACTAAAGCATCTCCCTTCATCCACCTGTTAGCACTGTGATATTGACATGCAGGTTACAACAGTGGGGTACAGGAGTATCGTGGTTGCCACTGTTAGTTCAAGTCTCAGTAGACATTAAGACAGCTGCTGCTAAACTCAAGGGGGCTCTATGAGATCTATCTTTGTGTGATTTTCTTTACTCTTGTAGTCCAGTTTGACTTTGTAATATATTCATTTTTCTGTTCTGCATTGAATTTTCCCTAACATTGTATTATAAAAAAAATACATAAAAGCAATTTATAGTGGACACCATAAAACCTCTAATGGTGATTCTAATGTATATGCCTTTTTACATAATCATCTCTCTGTCCTTCCTCTTGTGAGGGATGAAAAACTACCACACAGTGCTGGAGTCTTGCATGTTGCTGGCATGGGACTAATAGACTTTCTCTGTAGTAAACAGCACTAAAGAATGTGAAGCACCTGAAGTGTCAAATGTGTTTTGTTCCATTCACAACAAGCTCTGTAACGCATAGTGCTAAATATATTATGAAGTGAATGACATTCATCTTCACAGTGTTCTGGAGGCTAGGGGCTGCTGTCTTCATTGTATCAGAGAGGAAGCTATGTCCAGAGGGCCCAGGTCACCTGCTCAAGATTATTACACTTGTAATAAGCAAAAAGGCAGCATTTAAACTCAGGTCCAGCTAGGTTCAGAGCTGCTGCTCATAACTGTGGGGCCACACAGCTCTTCCCCAGCAGTTCAGCTGTGTAGCCCTGGCCCTGGGTCACACCCACTGTTACTGGGTTTGGGGGTTCATGAATCTCCTCTAGAGGTGGTTTCTAGAGTCTTTCTCTCCTGAACAAAGACCTAGTCATAACAAGTGCAAACAATAGGTTTAGGCAAAGAATCCTGCTCTGCAGAGCAACTTTGGGCCAACCAAAAGTTAAAAGAAGTACACCCTCAGGGGGAGAGCAGACCACTGTGAGAGAAAGAGCACAGGGACCGAGAGCTCATGGCAGCCATCTTCTGTACCTCCCACTCCTCAGGGAGTGGTCTGGACTATCCTATGAAAAACATATTTGAGTTCTTGCAAGAACTGCAGACAAAGCAGCACTCATGTTGGTTGCTCATGCAGAGCTTTGAGAACTGGTCTGTGCATCTCCTGGAAGTCTGATTAGCAGGTTACGCCCACTCCCCAGCCAGTTTGCCACACCCTGGTCTCCTGCCTCAGTGCCAGCAGAGCTAGGGAGGAGAGGCTTTTCCAGATATGTAGATACAAATCCCCAGGTAGAAATTCTCTGGAATTTCCAGTCTCATATCTGTTTGTGGAATACCTGTTTACTTC